TGTGATTTTCTGAGCTGTGTGGCCAGTTATCTGAGTTATGGTTAATTGAAAAATAACTAACACTCAATCAACTCGCAGGATGCACTTTGACGAGCTGTCGGCCACGGGAACGTTGCGGAATGAGGGCCGGTGTGTGCACGCCAGGACCAAGGACTCCCAGCTGATCCTGGCCAGCTGCTACCTCAGCGACATCACCCAGTGGAGCATGCTGCGCCAGAGTGGGCAGCTGAGCACCCATCGGGAACTCTGTCTGGCTGTGGGATTCGGGATGCGAATAGCACTGGAGCCGTGCGGCCGAAATGAAACCGCGAAGAGGTCGCAGCGATGGGTGCGCCTGGGCACCCGCCTCCTGCACGCCGAGACGCACCTGTGCCTGGATAATCCGCTCAAGGATCGATTGGAGATGAGCACCTGCCGTTCGCAGGCCGTATCGCAGTCGTTTCAATTTGCATTGGAAATGGAGGGGCACACATAAACTTGGCTAATGATACTGAAACTGAATCCGATAACGACACAGATACTGGATACAGATTCAATGAACCTGAGCCTCTTAGTTACCGGGGCTCAGGTGGCTGAGGTTGTGGGGCGAATCTCTGGGCAAGCAGGTAAATCAAAACGCTGACATGTTGTGCTAATCTCTGTGAAACATTTCCGCTGCCGGAGCGGCATGCCCATAGATTACGGAGGCTCCGGTTGAGGGGAAGCAGTAAATTATGGCGCCATGGATATACGAAAAGGTGCTTCTGCACCCAACTCCAGTAGCCGTTTTTTTTTATTCCGCTCCGCAGCCTTTGTTGCCGGAGTCGGACTATCAAGACTCGCAGCGCTTCCTGTCGCATCCGTCACACGAGACAGGACACAATGGTTTCGAGGGGGGCAGATGTGGGGGCGTGGCTAGATAAAAGCCAGCGACGCCGCGCGTATTGTGCGGCTTGTTTAGGCGGTCCTGTCATCAGTCAGCGAACAAAAGCGTGGCATCCTTCGGCTGCAAGGAGTCGGTCGCAAATGTAATTGAGTTGATGACAATGCCACTGACTGCCCGGCTCGCGCTTCCGGCAATTTTGATGGCCTCCGGATGCCGGCGACAAAAAGCGGCGACTCCGGAAACAAGTCCAAATAAAACAGAGACAGAGCAGTTAGAGCAACAGTAGCAGAAAATGCCAGCAGAAAACAGAAGTTCATGCCATGGTGCGGCTGCTGTTGGAGAATTTCCAAAGTGCAGTTGCAACTTAAGATTTGTTTTGTTTCACCATTCTTGCGGTAATAAAGCGTAAAAGTTAATTTTGTATCTCAACAATGGCAACAAGTGTGTTCTGCAGATCCTGCAGCTTCTGCAATATTTCCCTCACAATAGCGCCAGCTGTGCGTAAAAATCGCATTTCTCACGGAAGTTAATAAAAACAAAAAAGCCTTGGGTGACCAGGGAAACGGAAGGCGGAAGTCTAACAAGTTGCAGTTGCTTTGGCATCGTGTTTGGGCCTTCTCTCTCCTGGTTTCCGGAAAGTTATGACCGCCCGACATCGCGACATTTTATTGTCCTGCACCTGAAATGCAACTAACAATAAAGCGGCGGCGGTAATAAAACGGCGAAGCACTAGAAAATTTAATTTTCTATAAAGTTTGTCCAGGTAAAGTCACCGCTGCTAAATTGCCGTTCCACTTTAAGAATGATTCGCTCTTGGCAGTCCTTGACTTGAATTCGGCAAATTTGTATTGCCTTTTGAGAGCTGGATGCTTTCGAAAAGCTGCTCCAACATCGAATGAACCCAACTGGGAACGGAAAACTGGTAACTGGGCACTGGGCACGGGGCACTGGGCACTGGTAAACTGGGCTCAAGGACGGACCTTAATTATGAGCGGTGGAACCCTCAGCCAGGCATGCAAAACTTGATTATTCATTTGAAGACTCATTTTATTATCTGCATAAATCTTTGCCGAACCCGGCAACCAACTTTCTGTTTACTTTGTTGGGGGCCGAGAGCGAAAAAAGACAAAATGGAATCCATCATTCACTGGCGTGGCCGCATTTAAAACATCTTGATTAAAAAACTAAAAAGGGAAGTAGGCAAGCTAGAAGAATGGCGGTCGGTCGGTTGGTCGGTAAAATGGCAAAATGAAAGCCAAATGCAAACTCAGCGCATTCTAAGTGCGCCAGCGGAAAAACAAAAAGGGATAGAAAATTCGCGGAAAGTACGAAAAAAATTAAAACGAAATGAGCGAGGGCTAAAAACTTATAAGCCGCGAGCGTGGAGCGTAGAAGTTGCGGAATAACCATTGGTGGGCAGCGTTTAAAAAGGGATTTCAAAATTAACGTCCATCGGTCTGGCAAAAAAGTCAATTTGAATGATTAAATAGCAAAAGCTGTGTAAAAGTTGTGTCGCCGTACCGCCTTTTGCCATCGACCCCAAAAACCCAGGCATTTCCAATCCAAATCCGTAGAGTTGCGCCCACCGGACCAAAAACAGAGAAAAAAGCGATTAGTGTGGTCTTTTGTGTGGCTTAAGCATACCCGATGCCTTCTTTTTTGGCCATTCTCCCAGGCGGATTTACATTTATTAATTCCCCTGGCAGATGCCAAAAAAAGGGTCAGGTTTCGGGGCGGGCTGTATACAAGTAAATAAAAACATGTGAACGTTAGCGCAAAAAGCGATAATCCATCATTTTTGTCCCAGGTTGACTTCGGCAAAGGGAACAGTGGTATCCTTCAGGAGTTACTATCCTTCAGGTGTTACTATCATATGAGGGCTTTTACAATACAATTTCATGAGCTGTAGCTCTTAAACATATTGATTAATGGTAAGAAAAATTTATAGTTTATGTCCGTATCGCTAAAAATAGCCCTTCTCCCACTGTTGTTCCCTTGACGACACCAGAAGTTCATGTCCCTGGCAGAGACGTGTAATCCCTATCGCATGATTATGCCAAAAATGAACCAATCCATCGCAGCACACGAAAAAGGTTAAGCTCAATGTCCCTGCAAGATGGGTCCTTCAATCCTGTGAGTGGGTGTGTACGCCATACGGATTATCATGCCGCTCAGGAGCACCCAAACAATTTTGACGCAATGAAATGATTTTGATGAAAAATTAAAAAGCATTTCAATCACGCCGAAAGTTTTCTGACATCACAAAAATTGTTGCTTCTCCCATGGCAAAGGGAAAATGCAGAGTGGAAATTTCGAGTGTGTGCGGATGTGGATGTGGATCCGGAATCCGGATGGCGATGTGATCTGATGTGGTCCCCAACTCTCGTGTCTGGGAGTCGTTTATTTAGATGCTAATTTAAGTGTGCGCCTGGAATAATGCTTTCCATTTCAGTTAAAACGCTGCGAAAGTTGTGTTCAAGGTGATGAGTGTTCGTGTTGGGTGGGGGGAGCTTGGTTTATGTAAGCTTCAGCTTGCAAAAATATGTATAAGCAGATATTTAATGGATTTGTAATTAAAAGATTATATTAAGTGACTTTGGTAAAGAAAATTAAAGTCAACTCTTGTGCTACGAGACTCGTAGACTATGGAACGGTACTCATGATCTTTAAAATAAGGTAATAAAAGGGTTCATAGCTATCCTGTATATCTTAATAAACTATAATAAAAAAAATATAAAAAAAAAAAAAAAAAAAAAACTCTTGATCTATTTCCGGTTAATTTTGTTCGACAGCCGCAAAGTATGCAATGAAATGTGGAAAGTGGGCAAGATGGCGCCATCGGTCTTCGAGTGGAAAATTCAAGCAATTCAACGCCACTCTTTGCCATTTCAATAGGCAATGAAGCTGCATTAAGAATTAAAGACTTCATTAAGTCCGCAGTGCTGCACATTAAATAAACATAATGCCGCCTTTTGCTGCTTGCCTCTTCCATTGTCTCCGGGCGATTTCTTGGTTTATTTTTTTAGCCGCTGCTTGTTGTTCGTGGTGCTTAATTCGCATTTAATCTCATCAGGCTTGCGACGTCCTCGTCAGGGGTGCACTGAGCCATGGCCCCACAACCCACACCCTACACCCCCCGCCCGGTGGCGGGCGACAGGAGAGCCCGCCGCAGGTTTGATGGGGGCCACAGCTGCCGCTGACGCAGCAGCCGACTGAGCCGCCGACGTCGACGTCTGCAGGTGACAGGTGAGCATTGCGTTGGCAGCGGCAATAAAAAGCATGTAAATGAGGCGAGGACTTAACCTAGGCCAAGACCGAGCTCGGATATCTGCCGGCTGCGGTTATATAATGTTGTGACAAGCCATCCCCGGCGACCAAAGGTGTTAAACCAGTAAATCCCATCTGACTTGCACCGATAAAAAGCAGAGCGCTTAGGTCCGCCTCTGGTCTGGATGCTTGTATGTATTAAAAAATACTTTAATATATTAAAAATATTTATTCTTTTCATATTAACTAATAGCCATTTATTACTAGTCAGAAGAATACATCCTATATTTATATAATATATAGAATATATGACACAATCAAATCCTTTCTTTCGGTGTACAATTGGGGGCGTGGACATGAGCGCGTGCCAACTTTTTTGTTGTTTTTTTTTCCACCTCTGCCAGCAGTTAATCAGAGAAATTAAGCAATGTACTAAGCGCGGCAGAGCTGCGACGACGCCAGCTGTGCAGCCGCCGAGGCTGACGACATCAGCCAGGACATCCAGCTGTGCAGGACAATGGAAGACGGCGGGCGCAGACCCAGAACAACTAGTGATTGCCCCGACAATTGCTGTGGCGCATTGCCCGTTCAACTGGGCCAGCAGCTCAGCAGTTTAGCTGTGGGAGCAACAAGAGCAAACATTCCAGGCCAGCTGATGGGGATTGGGTTTGGATGGAAATGGGAATGGGTATGGGGATGAGGAGGAAGAGGTGGCTCCGGCGGCCACCCAAAACCATCACACGCTCACACGCACAGAAGCCAGCGGCGCTGGTTGTTGCTATTGTTGCCATTATTCTTGCTGGGATGGCTGGCGTCGCTGTCGGCGTTTTGCCGCCGCCGCCGTTGCCGCCGAGGCATCGAAGTATTCCTCAACAAGCTCAGCCAGCAATCAGTTGGGCGCTGGATACGGACGCGAGCAGTATGGACTTTTAAATTGGCCAAAAACACCAGTATAAAATCGAGAATATATAGCGTACAGCGGCGTAACAATCGGTAGCAACAATAGGAACGTTGTTTTTTTGGCCATACCGCCATATAGCCCCGAAATTTATGCCGTTCGTTTGTCAATAAAAAAGCAAACGGGAAATGTAAACAGAAGCGTAGCGAAAGGAAGACATCATATTGAATTTATGGTGTAGGTGCAGCAACGTGGTCCTCGAACCTAAGGACACCCCGGTGTCCTTGTCGTCAGGGTGTGACTCGGCACAGTTTGGTAGTGTCGGTGCCGATTTGCACGTGCCCTCACCTTTGAACTCACTCTCTCTCTTGTTTCACGCCACCCCGAGATCCTTGTGTGCTGTCCTTTATTGTTGTCTTACCTGTGCTACCCACCTACAATTACCTTTATCGGGCAAGGACCAAATTGCTTTTGCTACCCTCCGCCACGTTGCGAACAAGCCCGGTCCGGTTCGATACCACACGGCGTATGCGGAACGTTTTTGAGGTCTCCGGAGCTCAACGGTCGTAGTATTGCGCATGATAATTGAATTTTTGTGGCGGCTGCTTTGTGAAACTCTCCTAATTGGAAATTTCTTATTTGCGTTCGATGAACTGTAAGCGGAAAAGAGCCCAAAATTGAAAATGTCCCGTGACAATCAAGCGAAATCACCAATAGCCAGTACAAAGTGATCCGGAAAGTTGTGAACTAAAGCTGAGAAAACATGGAGAACACCGCACTGCTGGCTAATATTAGCCTAAATGCAACCAGAAATGAGGAGAATATCACTTCATTCTTCACCGATGAGGAGTGGCTGGCCATTAGTGGCACTTTGCCGTGGATAGTGGGATTCTTCTTTGGCGTCATCGCCATCACGGGATTCTTTGGCAACCTGCTGGTCATCCTGGTGGTGGTCTTCAACAACAACATGCGCTCCACCACCAACCTGATGATTGTCAATCTGGCTGCCGCTGATCTGATGTTCGTAATCCTCTGCATTCCCTTCACGGCCACCGACTACATGGTGTACTACTGGCCATACGGAAGGTTCTGGTGCCGCAGTGTCCAGTACCTGATTGTGGTTACCGCCTTCGCCTCCATCTACACGCTGGTGCTGATGTCCATCGATCGATTCCTGGCGGTGGTCCATCCCATTCGCTCGCGGATGATGCGGACGGAGAACATCACTCTGATTGCCATCGTGACTCTGTGGATCGTGGTGCTGGTGGTTTCGGTGCCAGTAGCCTTCACCCACGACGTGGTGGTAAGTGGGACTGGAAGAGTGGAGAGTGGGAGCAATGGTAGTAGTGGGCCTGCTGTGCCTGAATCTGCTGTGAAGAACACGGGCCAGGCAAATTTATTGCTTTCCATCATCGTCACCTCGTTAGATTCCACTCGCAGCACGTCAATGGTGCCTGCTTTTGATATAGCTCTACATAATATATATACCTAGATCGGTGGTCTGCCTTCTGCGAGATCGAACAATTCAGAAGGCAAAGACCCCGCACAACCCAGCGATCGTCCAATCGAGCGATCCTGATACAACTCATTTGTTTTTACTATTAATGTTTGCCCCTATTAAAGTTTCCCCTTTTTATCTTGTTTTCTGTTATTTTGTTTATATTGAAAATTTCGCTAGATGCGCGGCGCCCCATTTGTTTTTGTTACTAATTTGCTATTTTGAAATCATAAATTTTTAATTATAGACCAGATAGCCAGCGAGAAACACTTGCCAACTGGCGGTGGGTGGGTAGATACCCATCCTCCGTGTGGCTTGCACAATTTCTGAATTCAACTGTTGATCCAAAAGCGCGTAAATCATGGGCAGTCGTAAGTCGTAACAAGCGGCCATTATGGAAACTTTGCACTTGCGAACTTCGGGCGCACACTGCGTATGATAAATGTCTTCGCGGGTGGCGACCTTGAAGTGCTCCACTTGGACATTAAGCTTTTATGATCGATGCGAAAAGTGCGAGAAACAATTTAATTGCGGAATAATCGACCACGATCTGAATTGTTTTGCTTAAAATCAGTGGGTGATATCAAAATAGTGCAAGGGTATTTACCCGACTGCCAGGTGTTTTGCGATACACAAGTAAAATGTATTTTCGGACTTTAACCTTAGGTTTCTATTCTCCAGTATATATATATTATATATAGAGTTATTAACTAAAATTCAGCTTTTCAGAGTAGTCAAATTATGGTTGAAACATAGCATAGTTTACAGAGTACTATATTTTTCCATTGCGAGTTTCAACTACAAGTAATTACGGTCCAATTTCTGTTGATACTAACAATTGGCCTGCGGGCTTTTCCCACTGATTTCCCAGTGCCAATAAAGCGAATCCCACATCACACACGACCAACTTTCTGCTTGTGCCGTTGAGTTCCCCCTTTTCCTTGGCCAAAAGCGACAGTCGCGGTTAATTAAACGAATCTCATCGTCGCACGAATGATGAGCTATTTTATCTGTGAGTTGGCAATGGCCCACTGTTGCTCCTGGTGTTGTTATTGTAACCTAATATTTTATTAAATGGCATTTCACGCTTCATTATATTGTTATTTTTGTCTCGTTCGGTTTTTTTTCGCGTTGGGTGGAGAGTTCCAATGGGTGGTATTATTGTTTGTTTACGTGTTTGCTTTGCTTTGTCTAAGGATTAAGCTGGAAAAATAGAGGCCACATCGAATGCTCATATGTGTGCTTTGCTTTGTTATCTGGTGTGTGCGTGTGCAAATACAAAGAAAGAGGCGATAAAAAGGCATAATTAAGTCATGTTTGATCAACATGTTAATTAACAGTTTGCTATTAATTATTTCCATATTACATTGCCCAGCTACATGTACAGTATATATGTAATGAGTTTGTGCGAGCCTGTGCCATTATCTTTTTATTAGAAATCGATATCAAATAATAATCATAAAGCCACATATGTCCGACTGCGTAACTAGATATGCGATCTCCAGGTCATGGCATTGATTGACAGCTGTTGGCTGATTTCTCGCAAACGAGGAAAGGGCATTAATGGCTTGTCAAGTCTATTAAGTCGTTGGGTTTTGCGGAGAACATGCCAGCGAAATGAACCCATAAATCAGCGGAAGGGTCTGGCCATGATTTGTCTACTTCTGTGGCCTTGGCCACTTGACGCTGCGCAGATTCAGGGTTCGAACTCAATTTGTGGGGCAACATCACTCGCTCAGTGTAACGAAAACAAGGGCGGGCCATAAACAAACATTTTTGTAAGCATTTCATGCCGGCATTAATGCGAAGATTTTTTAAATGCGCTTTTCCACACGCATTCATCGATTGAAAGAGCGGCGAAGGTAGGCGGGGATTGTAAACAAATTGTAAACAAAAGGCTGCGAATATTTTTACGACTCACCAGGCAGTTTACGACCCTCCTAAGCGTCAGCAAACCAGTTTCGTCTAGCCAACAGACCAATAGATTCTCCATACCCCAAAACAGCAAGCCCCAAACCCCCATACCGATACCCATACCCATACCCATATCCACTGCGCTTTTATCCAAATCCAAAACTACGGCTGAACAATTTGTCAGCCAAATGTCAGCGACAGAGAAACAAAGTGAGATTGCGAGTTAGTTGTCGACGTCCGAACTATTCGTATGACAGTTTAGTTTTATTTACGATGTCTGGCTGTTGGCCGTCTGACGTTGCTTGGCTGCCATGCAACTGTCAACGGCAACATGACGTATGCGCAATATTCGATTCCCACACCGCACGCCCTTGCTCATAGTTCCCACCACCTCTCTCTCCCTCTCATCGATTTCCGCAGGTGGACTACGATGCAAAGAAGAACATCACCTACGGCATGTGCACCTTCACCAGCAACGAATTCCTCAGCCCGCGCACCTACCAGGTCACCTTCTTCATCAGCTCCTACCTGCTGCCCCTGATGATCATCAGCGGGCTCTACATGCGCATGATCATGCGGCTCTGGCGCCAGGGAACCGGCGTCCGCATGTCCAAGGAGTCGCAGCGCGGCCGCAAGCGGGTCACCCGCCTCGTCGTCGTGGTGGTCATCGCCTTCGCCTCGCTCTGGTTGCCCGTCCAGGTAGGTCTTCGAGGTGACATCAAAATACATTTATATTTTAAGTAATCAAATATATTCTTTGGCCTGATTGCACAGCTCATCCTGCTGCTCAAGTCACTCGATGTCATCGAGACGAACACCCTCACCAAGCTCGTCATCCAGGTCACCGCTCAGACTCTGGCCTACAGCAGCTCGTGCATCAATCCGCTGCTCTACGCCTTCCTCTCCGAGAATTTCCGGAAGGCCTTCTACAAGGTGAGTGGGTTGGGTGTACTCGGAGGCTGGACGAGAAGGGTCCTTTAAGTGGCGACATCTGAGTGCTCGGTCAATATATCGATGAAATATTTCCGGAGCATTGTTTTCGCTTGCATTCCGTTTGATGGAATCTTTTGTGTGGCGTAATTTTAAGTGGGCCATTTTATTGATTTATTGACTGACAAACATTAAAACCCTTTTCCATATATCAGATATTTGTTTTTTGATTTTATCTATAAACAATGATTTCCGCTCAGCCGCGTTTCCATTGCTGTTCCTAATGAGTTTTTAAATGAGCGAATGTTTTGATTTCAAATCAAAAATCCAAAATGCAATTAAATAATTTACGAGCATAATGGAGAGCAAAAGCAAAAAAGCGTCTATTGAGGAGGAAAAAAACCGCTCGTGTTTTCCCATTAAATTTCGATGGGCCAGCGGCAAACGTTTTAATGAGTTAAGTGCGAAAAACGCGCATACGCCGCGTGGGCCGAATTTGGTTGTACTCTCGCAGCATCGGCATCGGCATCAGCATCCAAATCTATATTTACGATATAAATAGGTAGAACTTACAGAATAATTTCAGCCACGCGGATCATCATCGGACCGTCCATCTTCATTTCTCTATTTATAAGGCCGTCGCAGACGATTTGCAGCTGTTGGGCATTAAAGTGGGCAAAATGAAATGCCTCCTCAACCCCTTTTGTTGTGGAACAAATATTTTCCATTATTGTATGTGTAGAGATCTTTTGTCTCGTCAATTTAATGAAGTGCAGCGATGCGGCTTGCGAGCCATTTCATTCGCTGGCATGCCACAGTTTTCCGTGAAATGGCACAATAATTGGGCTTTAAATTACAAATGATTCTTTTCCGTTCTGCTGGCTATTTAAAGATATGCCCAAATTAGCAGCGCACTGAGACAATGGGGAATTACGGGCTCTACATTTTTTTGTTTGGCCGGGCTTTTTATAGCATTCCCCTGTAAATTCATTGACATTCGTTGATGTCCCGTCCCGCACGCAAAAAAACGAGGCAAAAAAAAAAAAAGTGAAAACAGACGGCTGACAGGCTGCCCGCAGTTTTTGGACTTCGAGAATGGCGGCTCATTCCAATTCAACTCACTTTCGGGACGCATTAATTCTTTTGGTCAGCGGCCATTTGCATAAACGCAAAAAAAGAAGCAGAATACAGAAAAAAGAAACGTTGCGGGTGGCAAATCACTGGACAGCCACGCCCACCGGCGAGGGGGTGACTTTGCTTTACTTACTTTTAATTACTTTAGGGACAAACAGACACAAACGGCTGAGGGAAAGCAGCAGGAGCTGCCGAGGGAAGTTTACGAGCATGGTACATTGTACTCATCGATCTGAGAATTCTACTTTTACCCCACAACATTTCCTTTCAATCATTTTGTGGCTTAATTTTAATATTTTAATTTGTTTTCCCGCTGCGGTGCGTGGGCTACTCGTGTTTTCCGCATTTTCGGCAAAGCTTTTGCCACTTTGCATATAAATTGTGTTCCTGGACTGCTGATGCTGTCTTGGTTTGCCTTTCGCTAATTGATGTGTTTGTCAAGTCATTAAATTAGATTAATTACGTTAATTAAATTGCGAGCCGCTGTTTGTATTGTTTTTTACGCAATTGTTTCTGTTTGCGCCACGAGCGTGTTTGGAATTCCTTTTTCGCCATTTCCGGACACCACGTGATTGGGAATATGTCAATCTGATTAATTGGCCATGCAACTGGCCTTCGATTAGTAATTTATTCATGTGCCGAATTTGTCGGCTTTTCTATTGGTCTTTCATCCATCTCACGCCTTAACCAAATCACCACAATAGGGCTTGCAATCCAATAGACTTGGTATGAGGACATCGGCGCATCAGGATGTGAGTTCTGAGAAAACTACCTATTAAACATAAGTGTAAGGCGGAGTACATTTGTTTTAGATATTTCTTTATAAATACAATTCAATTCTGGCACGTGTTGAAATAATTATAAAATTAGTTAGCCTGTTCCTTACATTTTTTCAATGATATTAAAGTTATCTTTTTGTTTCTGTAGTATCATTAAGTATCTAAAATCTTTATTTTGTTTGCTGCTAGCATGTGCTTTTGTTGCCTCTAAAACATAACTTGTTTAAATTCGAATGATAAATCATTGGAATATGGATTTTTTTTTCTAATAACTAGGTACATATTTGAATGTTCGTTGTGAGTAAATATGGTGCAAATTTGTAGTCAAATACCAGCTTTAAAAGCTTTCCGCTGCTATCCATTTGCCGTAATCGAATAATGAGCTGGGCGCAGACAATGCGAATGCACAGCGCACCTGGGAAACCAAGGACCGCAACTGCCGGCGGTTCAAAGGCCATAATTCATTTCCCCGGAGCCCTGTGCTACTGTTGCTGTTATTGTTGTTGTTGGTGGCTCTGTGACGAGGCACTAATCAACAATTTTAGGCAGTTCAATCAAAGCGCAAATTCATAAATCATTTATATGCAAAACTCTCACTCCTCAATCGGCAGGGATGCCAGTTCACAGATCCCAAATACCGAATACCAGATTCCAGCTTCCCAGTTGCCAGTTGCCAGTTTCCAGTTGCCTGGCAACTGGGCAATTCGATGCTTGTCTGCCGGCATTTCCACACCTCAAACCACTTTAATAATTGAATATTGAATCAAATCTAATCATTCAAATGCAAAGCGACGGCAACAATCGCAGCCAGGGGCCTTGACATGGGAATAGCTTTCGCCCCATTTCCCATTTCCCCACTTTCACTGCCCAGTTTCCCCCCAACGAAGCGCCACCAAAGTGACTCTGCATCAAAACACGTCATTAATCAAATATTGTGGCCGAACTGTGAATTCACCGGGCCTTCAGTACTTTGTGTATATTAAAGCATTACGTCCTGCCAATTTCCCAACATTTTCTTAGTTTTCTCATTTCCTCTCCCCTCTGTTCCTGCAGGCCGTTAACTGCTCATCTCGATACCAGAACTACACATCTGACTTGCCGCCGCCGCGCAAGACGTCCTGTGCCAGGACCTCCACCACTGGACTCTAAGGATCACTTTTGATTTGGGAGGCAGTCACCAGGAGCGAATCTTTGAGGGCACCAGTGGACAAATACACGGGACCAATCCATCAATGGACTGCAAGCGAGCGCTGCATTGGAGTATTGCTTTTCGAATGACTAGATATAAGATATGAGGACTTTGTAAATAGTAAATTAGATTAAATGAAATGAATGTCTATATCGTATGTGTATGTTAAGGCTACTAAGCTTATTCATCTCTTAGATGATATTATAATACAAATAATACATTTTCAAATTGGAAGCGTATACAGGCGGCAATGATTACTAAAAATTATAATGATTGGCAGTAGATTTCCCTGAATTATTTTTAATGTTATATATAATGCTAATCGGAATGCAATGTGTTACATGCTCCCTTGGTGTAAGCCAAGTTAGCACAGTTTGTTAGTTGCGTAAACCGTTAAAGAATTAAATAATACAACAACAAACGAACTTTTGATTTGCACTGATGGGAGTTAACAAAACTAACAGATTTTGGCCTGCAGCTCACGAGGAAATGGCATAAACTATTGCCATACGGATTGAAGTATGCAAATGGATATTTAGTGGCGCGTAAAACTTGAAAATGATATACTCGTCGAATATTCGCGATGCCACATTGAAATCGCCCTCAATTGACTGCTGCATTTGCGCAATCAATCGAACTCGCATTCACTCACTCATACATTCATTTATTCTTGGGTCTCACCTACTCAGCCAGGATATCTGCCCAAGCTGAAGAGATCTTTTTCCAACGAGAGCCACCGGCTGTCATCGCGTGAATGACGTGAGTAGTACTGTTCGTGAAGGTCCTGCGAGGTCGAAGAGGTCCTGACTTTGGCAGCTTAAGATGCTGATTGCATTTCGCCTGACGCTGGCGACTGACCGGAATTAATTATGCGTCGTCCATCTTGCGGATCGGGCCGAGGCGTATATATGTGGCTATGTATGGGGTGGGTGTACTAGTGTGGGCTCCCGTTTTCCGCGTTGCCTGGCCACTCGCACTTTTGCATAATTTATTCGATTTTAATAAGCGGGCCTGTCTAGAGTCAAGGCGTTGCCTTTTACACCAGGTAACGTAATTAATGCGTATCAGTCGCTGACAGGTTCCTCTTCGGCGCGTTGCCAACGTAATCAAAATTTCAAATGAGCATCAAGGAGTGCGGGCCCAGGTGGCGACCGAGCTCCAAGTGTCTTTGCAAATGAGGCGGGAAAACCAATGGATCGATTCGAAGCTGTGGGGCGAGCACCAGGAAGTGGGCAAAATAAAGCTGGGCAACTATTGACGCCATAAACGCGTACGCTACGCCGGCCAAAGTTTTGCTGCCCTCTCGTGCACTCAGAAAAAACTCATTTCAAATGGCTGCTTGTAAGAGAAAAAACGTTGCAAAAATATCTTTCAGTATTTACTTTCAACAAGAAACGTAGTAATCCCAAACTGATTTTAATCGCATTTTGATAACCACCCTATTTGATACTTTTGTACAGTGATTTCTTGGGGACTTGCCCGCTTGCCCCAACGATAAGTCGTTTCCCCAACGAGCAAATAGCCAAGCAATAACGCCAAAGCCGAGCAGAATAGCAACAACAAGGACTGCTCATGCTGCTGACATTATCATAATAACAATAATCATAACTGTGAGTGTAACAGTTGTCGCCCCGCGCGTCGTGCTTTCCCGCTTAAAGCCATCGGTGTATTAAGAAATTGCGCCATATCCTGTACTGTCGCAGCACATCCTGCATGCCAAGGACTCGCGGTTACGTGTGTGCGGAACGCTGTGGAATCGCAACTGCTACTCCACTGACCTAGTCTACGCGGTAACAGTGCCGATTCCAGTTCGGCTATGCTCATTTAAGAGAGCAACGGCGAAGAGAGGGACTCCGAAAAGTGGTGAGTTCACAGTTAACAGCGGCAGAGAGCGAGCGGAACGAGTGGCAATGGCACAGCACCCACGCAGTCTACTTTCATTCATTCGAGCCACTCGCCTTCTGAGCGTAGGTCATGGCGGCAAACGGGTCGGCTACTTAATCTGCCCACCTGCTTTCCGGTCAGTCACATGCTCACACTGCTAATCCCACGGGAGGGGCGCAATAGGGGGAGTGGCACTACGGTTCTTTGGCCAAATGAAGCGTAACCAAATGCTGATAGCCCAAATGTTGCAGTTTATGGCCAAGGCATTGGCCAAATTGCCTCTTGGCGTGCGGCATAATGGCGACAATAGCCACATTGTCTTCCCACTGAATCAGTGCGCCAGAGCGAGAGAGCGGCAGGGCGTGGAAGTGTGGGAGTGAGAGGGGGGACAGACACATACACACACACACACGCCCACCTTGGCTCGATTGCATAATGCGGTCGCGCCAAAACAGAAAAACAACTTTGAACAGCTTTGCAGTTCATTTCGGTGTATGCTGCAACTTCCCTTCTCCATTTTTTCTCTGCCGGCTTTTTGTCGTTTCGCGTTGAACTGGCAAATTTCCGGCAAGCTTTGCATGCACACAAAAGCCATCTTCCGTTCTTGTCGCACGCACACACTCACGCACATACACACACACACAGTGGAAGCTAAAGTTTATCTGTCAATTTCGGTACACAAACACAATAAAACGCAGGCGGCAAAGCGGTTACGCACTTAGAGCATTTGCATACCCTACAGCTAAGATATAATACCCTGGAAATAGTTCATATCCATTATTTGTACTTATAAATGTATCAGAACAGTCCCTTTGTAGGTTTGAAGTAATCCTCATAATTACTATTTGTTTTATAAGGATATTAGGAAGGCTAACAAATGAGCCAGTTAGTAAGATCTACCGAAAATATAGTTTAAGCAAAATGGGTGAGATAAAAACTAATGACAAACTATAAGCTTTCCTACTTTCCAGGGCATCAGATATTCACGCAAAATCCGGTTGGTTAAACTTTTTTTCCAGTCCAGCACTTCAGCGATAGTTTGAGGACGAAACATTTTGTCAACTTTAATGCGCTTTGTTGTTAAGACGGTAGAACGTAGAAAACGCTCAGGAGCCGGATCCACGTTACATGCGCCAGAAGAGCAGGTAAGAGCGCAAAAGTTCGAACCTATTTGCATACAGCTCGGTAATCCAAAAAACGAATTTCTCGGTTAGTTGGCAAAGTACTTGGCTCAGCTTTTATGCATTTTAAAAATCAAACATTCCATTTCCATACGCCCCAGATGACGACACAGTTCCGCACTCGTTTTAATACCAATTTTTATTTCATTAAACAATACGGTTATTATTTTGATTACAGTGCGAATACAAAGAGTAGGGTTGTGTTTGCATAATGGAATTTTTAATTAATTTTGATTAGGAATTAGCCGGCAATTGGCTAGGACGCATACTAATGCCCAGTAGCGTACCTTGGAGTGGGATTCTATTTCTTGCCCAGCAAGCAGCGTCATAATAAATAAATGATCAACTCTGGCCAAAACTGGCAAGAACATAATTTCCGTGTTCTGGGTCCTTGTCGAAAGCCGCAGGAATTAATTGCGGGTCGCTCGCTGCTGGCCTCGTTAAACTTTCGACCAGATTAGGAAGTGCGGGCCGGGTTGGCGGACATTCGTTTGCAATAATTTAAATATTAGTTACACATAATGTAAAGCATAAATTAATTTTGTATTCGCCAACTATTAAAAAACTTTCAATTCGCTGGGGTCGCAGCAAGGGTCCTCCGAGTTGATGAAGTAGTACAAGCGCAAGGAAGAGGGACATCCGCTTAAACTTTCTCCGCAGCTTGGGGCAATTAGTTATTCACGCTTGCGCTTGTCTTTGGAGCAAGTTTAGCCGCCTGCCAAACTCGACTCCTTTCTTTTTTAGCTGCGATTGGGAATTAAACGCAAGATAAATAGTTGGGTTTCCCTCCCGTGACTATCATCGCATCGTATCGCATCGTATGGTATGGGCTATAGTATCTGGTATCTAGTGTCTGGTATCTGCGTATCATATCACAGGCGCTGCAACATCCGGCCGTAGACTTGACTCCGCTCGAAGCTGCCGAAGGCCTCGCGGAAACGCTGCCGCTGCTCGCCACTCAATTTCGCATGGAAATCTTGTGCAGCTGTCACGAACAATGCAATTTCGTGTTGACCCAATTTTCGGGCCATTGCCGGAGCTGCTGCCGCTGCCTCAGTGGTGGCCGTTGTTGCCGCTGCCGCCGAGTTGGATGCCCCGATGCCGAGCACCAGCGGAAATAGTTTAATCAAATGCAGATTTATGGAGGCGGATAAAAAGATGACGCTGAGGCCCCAGACACCCTGCTGCTCCGGCTGGTTCAGGAACGTTGGCAGGGTGCAGATCAGCCAGTCCTGGAGCATCTGCAGGTACGACGAGTCGATGGCGGAGCGAAAGACCTGCGGAGTAGAGGAGCAAAGCAGATTGGGGAGCGGGTTAAGAGCTGCCAATGAAATGCTTAAATAAAAGCCAAGCCGACAATACGGAAATTAAATTTTATTGTGCTGCTCGAAAGGTGCCTCGTCGGCGGGCCGCAAAAGTCTGCTGCAGCAGCATACTTTGTGGCAGAAAGTTGGCTAATGAAATTCCGCAGCCTGGGAATCCGGCCCTGCGAATGACAGTGCAAATTGTGCCGCCGTGGGATCCCAGGATCCCGGGATCCCGGGATCCCCCGTTGACTTTCGAGCTTGTTTTTATTAATTTCCATGCACGCATCCACCAGGCACTGGCTAACCTTGAACCTAATGAAACATTTTTATGGCCCCACAGTGGTCGCCAGTAGTCGAAGGCTCCGGCTCCTCGCATTGACCCACGCACCTGGACGGAGGCCAGGCTGTAGCCATGAATTCCATTAATTTTCAAGCTGCCAAAATTCCACAGTCGCACACGCACACTCATGTGGACCCACAGTGGGCAGTTGGCAGTGGGTAGGCGGAGAGTTGGCGAGTGTTTTACCCTTTCGACTTGTGGCCAGGGCAAACATTAGCGCTGCATTGGCCCCATTCCGTTCCGGTCTCCAGACAAGGACGAGGTCCTGGGTCCGGGACTCGTAAAATGGAACCCAGCATGGGAATCCGAGTGTGTGTTCGAGGCAACCACGCACGAATGGCCAACGTCTTTACCTTTACCATTGCTAGATCTTTGGCCAACAGCACTCACCTGATATACAATCATGGCAATAACATCGCAGTGCGGGTGATTTATGGCGAGAAAC